AAATTTGTGCTGGTTAAATCTGTGTATATACAGATATATATATATATATAAGAGAGAGAGAGGGACAACCCACCTTCGCAAACCCTTTTGGCACCGCCATTACCATTGTAGTTCAGAAAGAAGAAGAAGAGGACCAAGGCAAAGGAGGAGAGATAGAGAAGAAACAGAGAGAGAGAGAGAGAGAGAAAGAGATAGAGAGAGAGGTCGGGCCATTTGAGGCCCGTTTTTCTCGAGTTACGAAGCTTTATTCTAAGTTCACATGACGCATGTAATTGGGATCATAAAAGGCGTCATAATAGATAGTAATATTTGATGTAACGTTTTATATCGCACTAAATACATCAATTAATAGGCCACAACACATGTGAAATTGCGGCTATAAAAAAATGTCATAACATATTGTACCCCAAATATAATCACATTGGCATAATTGTTTAGGGCACTTGATCCTTTATCATTAAATTTCTCTATCATTTTTTACGTAATTGAGGCTATAAAAAAATGTTGGAGCATATTGTATTCCAAATATGATAACATTAGCATAATTGTTCAAGGCACCAAATCCTTTATCATTAAATTTCTTTATATCCTTTTGTATGTATTTGGGGTTATAAGAAAACGTCGTAGCATATTGTACCCAAAATATAATCACCTTAGCATAATTGTTTAGGGCATCAAATCCTCTATAATTAAATTTCTCTATATCCTTTTATATGTAATTGGGGCTATCAAAAAGCTTTGTAGAAGGTTGTACCTCATATATAATCACATTAGCATAATTGTTCAAGGCATCGAATCCTATATTATTAAATTTCTCTATTCTTTTGTATGTAATTGGAGGTATAAAAAAAACGTCATAGCAGATTGTATCCCAAATATAATCACATTAGTATAATTGTTTAGGGCATCAGATCATTTATCATTAAATTTCTCTCTATCCTTTTGTATGTAATTGGGGTTACAAAAAAATGTCGTAGCAAATTTTACCCTAAATATAATCACATTACCGTAATTGTTCATGGCATCGAATTCTCTATCATTAAATTTCTCTATATCCTTTTGTATGTAATTGGAGCTATAAAAAAACATCATAGCAGGTTGTATCCCAAATATAATTACATTAGCATAATTATTCAGGGCATCAAACCCTCTATCATTAAATTTCGCTATTCTTTTGTATGTAATTGGGGGTATATGTAACAACCACGATCTATGATTAACCATTAAACCATGATTAAAAATACTCAATGAATAATTACAATGAAATTCTAAATTAATTGCATATGTGTTGTATTATTTGTGTCTCTATTTGTCTATCATAGAAAGATCTGTTCATGTTTATGTTTCGTTTTGCAAATTGAAGGCCTTATCGACATCTGATCACAAAATTAACTTTATTTATGTATTATTCGGGCTTTTTAAAATTTTATGATAGGTTTGATTGAAATTCGATTCGGAATGAGTAAATTAGAATAATTGATGTCCATTTGTTTAGCTTTAATTAAGTCTCATTAATTCAAGCCTATATAAGGCCCATATGAACTCATTAGTTCACTTTTCACTCTCGTATCACCCTTTCTTGAAGAGAAAAACGTGAGAGAAAGAGATAGAGGGGGGAAGAATTGAGATCAAACCTTGAAGTTTGGTAGGAAATTGCTTGGAAATTAGAGAATTGCTCAAATCATCATCAAACCCCAAAGAATTGAAGACTCTAGGTAAGAATTTTGTCCTTAAGCTTTGCATTCTAGACATTAGTGGAAGAATTCAAGAGATTAAGGTGGTTAAACATGAGAATTGAGCTAAGGAAGTAGAAAAATTGAGCATCCCATGCATGCATGTACATTTCATGGAGTTTTGCTCTTGTTTGCAAAAGAATTCCCTCATGCATGTACTAAGTCTCACTTGATTTTGGGAATTCATCATAACTCACAACATTTAACTTCATTTGATCATGTTCTGAAAGCTTAAAAGTCAACCCAATTCATACATGTTAACTTCAAGTTATGTTTTTTAAGTTTCAAGTTGGGTTTTAAGCAATTGGTATACTTTTAGGCTTTGATTTTGTGAAATGATTTGAATTCACCATGTTTTACAAGTCTACACATGTTTCCTTGAGTTTTTGGCCCAAAAGAACATGATTTATAGCTTTGAATTTGAGTTTTGGACTTAAAGCATCAATATGGAAATTCCATAATTTATCTCTCCGCTCGAGTGACGAAACATGCGCTCGAACGACCACATGTATTTTCTTGCACCGTCGCTTGAGCGAAAAAGTCTACACTTGAGTGTAAAATGCATGCCCCCAGAAGTTTCACATTTTGCAGATCGCTCGAGCGACAAGAGTAACGCTCGAGCAAAAATCTCAGTCTCACGCTCGAATGACTGTCAAGCGTGTGTCGAGTAAAAAAATCAAGCAACCAGTACTTTTGTAAAGTTTACAGACCGCTTGAGCGAAGGAATTTGCGCTTGAGCAACCAATCACAGGTGTAGATGTTCGCTGGAGCGAAGGAAGCTGTGCTCGAGCGAGACCCCTATTTTTATCATTTTTTGATTAAGTGTTTCCAAGTATATTTTAGCATCCTCATTGCATTTTAGGCATTCTTAAGCCCTAATTAAGACATAATAATGAGGATAAGACGTAGAAACACACTAGGAATGAAATAAAACAAGTTAAGTTCTATCCGGGTGCGTGTTCCAATGTGTGTGTTTGTTCTGTTCGTGTAGGTCATGTGCCACAAGTCATTTGATTTGTTTGTTTTGTCTGTTCTATAAGTGGAGCCCTCTGTGAGTAACAATTCTATAAAGTTATGTTTAATTTTAATTATTTTTTGATTATATGAAATGATCAGTTTTCTGAAATGCTATGTTTTGTATAAATGAATGATTGTCCAAGTTTTTGAAATGTATTCGTAGCATCCTTAGCATCAAATGATATGCCTCCCTCTATGGGTCATCGGAATGCCTTTATAGTCGTCCCTCTATGGGTCATCAGAATGCCTCTTTAACCATCCCTTTATGGGTTATCGGAAACGTCTCTATACACATGAGTCATCGGAATGCCTTTATGGCCGTCCCAAATATGGGTTATCGAATTTGTTAACGCTAATGGATATACCATGTACCATCATGTGAGATGTATGAACTTTGAATACGAATACGAATATGTACATGAATCTAATATGCAAAGAATCTGCTCCTGATATAACCTCGAATTTCTGACACTGTGATGGATAACATTCATTAAAACGCTTTACTCTGTTATTATTCACTGGGTTATCGCTCACTATTTATATTATGTATGTAGGTGAGCAAGTGCGTGACCAGGCCTAAGTTGCTGCTTGGAGAGTTGTTTTGTCAGCCAGCCACCGTGCTCCCCGAGGAGATTCCCGTTTTACCCAAGTCAAGTTGCGAACCATATTATAGAATTCCGTATATGCTTTGTTTTGTTATCCGTTTTGGTGGCATCTACATGTTGATGCATGACTTATGAAATATTGACGTCATATGTGTATGTATAATTAAGTTTTAAATTTTCTGTTCCATGTATGTCTACACAACTCAGTGGGCTATGTATGTTTTATTTATCTGCTTCTGCAGCCCCTATCATATGTTAATCTATTCAGAGGCTTTTGGTAATCCCAGGATTACTCGCCAATTACGACGCTAAACCTATAGGGGCGAGTTTGGGTCTTGACAGTATAAAAAAGCATCTAGTAGATTGTATTGTACCCCAAATATAATCATGTTAGCATAATTGTTTAGGGCACCAAATCGTTTATCATTAAATTTCTCTCTATCCTTTTATATGTAGTTGGGGTTATGAAAAAACGTCGTAGCAGATTGTACCCCAAATATAATCACATTATCATAATTGTTCAATGCACCGAATCCTCAGTCATTAAATTTCTTTGTCCTTTTGTTCTAAAAGTCCATATTTGTTAAATTATATCTCAAGATTTTCACACTTCAAAATTCTTACACAATCTAACGATTACAAGTATTTCGAAACAAGTGAGGAAAAAAATTTAAAGAAATAGAATTCTTAACTAGTCCACAGTTTTAATAAAATTTTTAGTAACTAGTCCACAGTTTTAATAAATGCATAGAATCATCCATAGAATTGAAGTGAGGCATGTGGAATATGGATGAGACCCCATTCATGATTCAATTAGGGTTTTTTGAGTGTAAAACACTAGCTTGTTTAGTATAGTTTTACTTTATAAAAAATAAAATAAAAAAATCAATGATTTTTTAGAGTGATTAAAGTTTTTTTTTTTTTTTTGGGACAAGAAATGAGTTTGCCAAATATATTAGGACTTTATTTTTATTTTTTTATTTAGTAAAATGATCTTTCTAAGTCAATGAGTTATCTTTTAAGACACCACCCATTGATGTCTATGAAATTACTATTCAATAGTCAGTATTATGTGATATTATTATTCATTAATTTTTATGAAAACTTTACAAATAAAATAATGCTGATCAATATCTATTAAATAATTAGTAAATACAGATTACCCATCTAAGTATATTTTATAATTTTTTATTAAGCGGGAGTATCTGGTACACAATCTCATAGTTATTTTTCCTTTGTTTTTTTTTTTTTTTCTTTTCTTCTATGGATGAGAATATTGTGAAAATCTGACTAGCATTTAAAGTAATAGTTGAAAGTGAACTGCAAAATTCCAAAAAATCTAATTACATTAATCTCCAACAAGTTACAATAACTACACAACGAGGGCATTTTCGGTACTCCAAAGCCCCTGTCAAAAAGACCAATTCACCACTCAAAGCTATTTGTCTTTCCAAAAATTGGAGGGCAAAGTAGTAAACACGATCACAACGAGTCAAAGAGCTTAACTCGGGCCTTGACCGAGTCAAGTTACCCGCGTTGTCGAGTTGACCCAAATACGCGACGACCCGACTGCGATTCTGATATCCGACACAGTTTCTGTTTTCAACATATATAAATCAGAGAATGTGAGAGAAGTGGAGAACCATAACATATATGTAGAGAGAGAGAGAGAGAGAATCATGGTAGCAAATTCGGCGGAACTGAACTTAGGTTTGAATTGGGTTCATCCTCAACCCAAGACCATTTCCGAGATTCTCACAGAAGTCTCTGTAATCGCTGATGTTTCTGAGAAATTATCAAAGCTCAATGGTTATGTTCGATTACTTGAAGATGAACTCAGAAAGATACACTCTTTTAAACATGACCTCCCCATTTGCACCCTTCTCTTGAACGATGGTCTATCCTCTCCCCCTCTCTCTCTCTCTCTATATATATATATATGTATAGTTGTTTGATTTCTTTGTTGTTGTGATCTGGGTTTGCAGCAATCAAGAGATTGAAGGAGGAGATAATGGAGTGTGTAAGAAAGGAGAGTAATTGTTCAAGTGATTTGAGTGATAAGAAGAACTGGATGAGCTCTGTTCAGCTATGGACCCCTATCAATGTCAAGTGTGAGAATAGCCCTGCTTATACCAAGAAACAATTCTCAGAACCAGACATGAAATCGGTAAAATTGATGCACATACAATATCTGAATGTATCGTTTACATATATATACCTAAAGTAAATAAAGAGTTTTTGTTTGTTGATGGCAGAGGGGCTCTGCAACTGAGAATCCATTGCAACTCTGTAGTTTTGGGAACAGGGGAGGGGCATTTGTGCCATTCAAGGGACTTTCTGGGCTGAGAATGAAGGAGGAGAAGGAGGCTTCATTCATGCATGGTATATCGCTTTCGACTCCGGTGGTTGAAAGGGGTTCGATTAATTTAAATTTGGAAGGGAATAACAGTGTGAGTAGTGGTTCGGGTTCTTCGTCGGTGACTGAGCAAATAAAGCAGTGGAACCGAGCAAAGAAGGAGAGGCGGTGCTGGTCGCCGGAGCTGCATCGGCGATTTGTGGATGCACTCGAACAACTTGGAGGATCACAGAGTAAGATTTCACACCTCAAATCTAATTTCTTGAATTGTATGTTTTTAGGCATACATAATCTTGTTTTTGTGAATTTGGTCAATTTTAATGTTGTAAAAAATTGTTCTTGAAAGGGATTCTTTTCTCATTTTTACAGCCCGTATGGATTTGGTGTGAAAAGAAAGAAAATTTGAGAGAAAGAGAAGTTATATGGTGTGAAAGGGGAGAGAAATGGAGAGAAAGATGAATCTATGTGTCCGTTTTCAGCAAAATTGGTGAGAAACGAAACTGGCTTAATATGAAATTTTCGTAACACCTAAATTGCGCATCTAAATGCAAAGCAAAGAAAATAAATAAAAATAAAGAACTTGTGTTCTCTTTTTTCTTTTCTCACTTGGGCGAGAAACCATAAATTGTTGGACAATTTTATTGTTTTAAAATTTATGGTTGAAAAGAATAATACTCGATGCTCAAAAAATTACATTTATGGACCGCAATCATTCTAAGTGTGCTTAACATCCCACCAACTTTAAATCTATACCATACACTTTATTTCGGGTAGAAAAAGAATGAAAGGAAAGCAATGAGCTAAAGTTGTTTTTCTTCTATGTTTATTTATTTATTGTGTTATAGGGCTTATTTTTCTATTTGATTTATGTCCTGTTTGGTAAATAGAAATTGTATGGGATTTTATAAAACAGGATACATATGATTTTCTGTCTTTCCCAGAGAAATTAATGGATTAGACGGTAAAATTAATGGATTAGACGGTAAAATGTTCAACATCTTTAGAAAGAAATTGTGTCAATGCGAAGATAGTTCTCCTTGGCCAAAAAAAATTACCTGCCTTTTTGTTGATAATTGGATTGTGATTGTGATTATGATTGTTTCTGTGAATCAAATCACGTATCTCTTATGTTTTCAGCAGCAGCCACACCGAAGCACATCAGAGAACTCATGCAGGTCGATGGCCTCACAAACGATGAAGTCAAAAGCCATTTGCAGGTAATTTTAACGAGAATCTCCCTTGAATTTCATTTTTTAGTCTTCTTTTCTAGATTGGGGTTATTCGTATACTTTAAATCCTTGTGTGATTGCAGAAATATAGAATTCATGTCCGTAAACTTCCAGATTCTTCAGCTGCAACATCAATTGGGTCATGGATGACCCAAGATCAGCGTGGAGATTTGTCAGAAAATCGTAGTTGAAGATGAAGATGTATGGACTGATCCACCTTAAAAATTTTGCAGATACTTACATAAGAGAATCAGATTATGAACATTACAAGCAATACATTATACAGAGAGGGATAGTGAAAATTTTCCTTTTTTTCTTTTGGCTCTATCATTAAGATAGGGACAATAAAGCCTTCACCAATTCTAACATTTTCTCATTTTTCCTTATCTCAAGTTTTCTATTATCCTTTTAGGATGAAGAGGTTGAATAAGTATCTCTTCGTACATTGAAGGAATGATTATGACTGGCTTTAACCATATAATATCAACTTCTGTCTCTTCATGTTTTTAAGTCATATTTTAAGTTACCTTTTTATCTGTCTTATTAGTTCTGCTTAATTATCTGAATTTTAGCTAAGCTAGCTTAAAAGTTATATCTTATCACATGAAAATTTGTGTTATATTGTGGATGTTCTTACGTTTCTTCCATGATTATTTGTGATCTTTTTCATCTCATTTGACAAAGTAGTAAACCTTAAATTCTGCGATTTATGATCAATTTCTATTTGGTAAGCTAAATGTTTGCTCTCATGTTCTGTTGATGTCTTGACATGTTCGTGCTACTCATGGAGACTACCTCTGATTCATCAAGCAAGAAACCAGAAATTTTAGGCTTCTTGTGATTCTAGCTAGAAAGAAAAGGAAATGCAAATCAAACAATAGTAGATATTACATTGTGATATGATTTAATCTAAATAGTGAGAAAATAATCAATAACTTATAATATTTTGTGTTATTATTGGAATGAAAGACGCCATCACATGTGTTTACCCGACTAGGCCTGAAGCTAAAAAGGCCATTCATTTGGGATTGTCTTCTCATCTACACATGCTCAATACACTCAAGACAACTTACTTTTTTCTAACCTTTGTGCTGCTTGAGCATGCATCGCTCTTCAGCTTTCTTCTTTTTCTTTTCCCTTTTCTCTTTTAAATGGCATAGCAATCGGCTGGAGAAGCAATCTCATTTTCTCCTTTTCCTTATCTAAACCAACCAACTACAGAAAGGACGGTCAGTGGTCGTGAGTTTAGAAGATAATGATGCGAAAAATATAGAACAAGTTCTATTAAAAAAGGAAAAAAAAAAAGGGCCTCGTATTAGGGTCACCTGACAATTTTCATAAACAAATTTAATTAGCACCAAACTAAGAAAAGTGCTGCTTTGCAACTTGATAAATGGGATTTGATGTAGAATCTAGAGTGCAAAGTGTAATTTATCCATAATTGTATGAAAGACTATAGGACTCGGCCTTGGGGACCCTCTAATATACCTTCCATTTCTAATTATATAATCAGTGAGGACAGGTTTTAAGGCACATGAATAGAGTCAGGTGACATAGAAATCATCTGAAGAAGACTTGAATTGGAAAAAGTCTCCTCCAATACAGGTCCTCCTCTCCTACTACTCCCATACTCCGCACTCTCTTTTGTGACATGCACCACCAGCTCCCTCGCAACATCTACCATCCCAAGTCTTCCGACACATTCTCTGCCGCCAAACAACAAACACCTGGTGGCCAAGTCCGTCACCGCCTCTATCTGTTCTCGCCGGAAAGGCGGCTGCTCATGGTAGTACAAAACTGGGTCCACAATCTCCTCCACCTTCCCACTCCTAATTTTTTGCAATGCCATTGTTGGAGCAATTCTAGCACCTGTCACAATCTCTAAAAGCACCACACCAAGGCCGTAAACATCACCAGAATGAGAGTCCTCGCCATGGTTGGCCCCAAACCCGGCAATTTTAACGGAGAAGTCTTCGTCTAGGAAGATGAAACCGGATCGGAGATCGTGGTGGAAAATTGGGGGAGAAACCTCGTGCTGAAGGAATGTGAGAACGCTCGCTGTTTCAGAGGCAATGTTGAGTCTCTTGTACCATTCAAGCTCAAATTGTCGTCCTCTCAAATGTTCCTCCAGAGTCCCATTTGCGGGATACTCGTAGACTATCAGCGCGGGGTTTCTGATTCCCGAGTCCACGCAGCATCCGAGGAGGCGGGCTAAGTTTCTGTGTGGAAATGCAGAAAAAATCTCACTTTGATATATGAATTGAATGAACTCCCTTTCGTTCTCGCAATGCATTTTGTGCACAGCGACATGGGATCCGTCTCCAAGAACTCCGGCGTAAAGCGTGCCATTGTTGCCATCGACAAGTCTCTGACCTTCCTCGAACCCCTTCGTGGCTTCGTCTAGCTCACGGTAACTGAACAATCGAGTCTTACAGGCTTTCTGGCATGAAACGGCACTACGATCAAATGTGTTTGATTTGGTCGGCCGTTTTAACAGACAAAAAATTGCAGTCAAGGAGGCAATACAGAGAGCTAAAGTGACAACTCCGGCGAGTATTTCAACCTTTATTCGACCATGTCCGTTCAAGAAACAGTCATCGCCGTAAGCTTCCTTTCCATCCCTGAGGCATGTCTTCAAGCATCCAACTCCGTCTGCGAACGCATCGCCGATGAATCCATCGGAGCATTGGCACCGAACCCCAGAGGGAACCGATGTGGCATTGACAGTGTAGGCATTGGCAGCACACACAGCAGCGGATGAATTTCCAGGGACTGCCCATTCCAACTTCACGCCGCGCTTGCCGATATTAGTCCCCGGTGGAACCACCCAGCACGAGAATCCTCTGCAACCGAATTGGGAAAACACAGAAAACCCATCGCCGACGTGCCACGAGGTGCGATCGGAGAGCGGGTAGCAGCAAGCAGGGTAGCTGCCCGCGCTGCCGTCGCAACCCGGTGGCATGATGGTCTTTTCGCATTCTGTTTTGCACAATGATGAATCTTCGCAGTCGTATAGGCCAATGATGTTGTCTGCGGAGATGCCGAAGTAGTCGTTTCCGTCAAAGCCAAAGGCGTTGAGGTCGTTGTAGGGACGGCAGGTGGCGGAAGTGATGTTTGGGAAGTCGACTAAGACGCCGTCGGGGAAGAATTGGAGGATAGGATAGGTTTTGGAGGAGATGGTGAGAGAGAGTGAGGTGGAATTGTGGCAGATGAGACGGAAGGGGTCGTCGTCAGAAACTGACCCGCATGAAGAGTTGATGTAAAAAGGGAATGGTATTTGGAAGCTGCCGCATTTGTCACCGCACAGGTTTGATTGCGAAAGAGTGAGAGAAGACTAATGAGTTGGGAAGTATGAGAATGAGAAAGGAGATGAAAAGGAAACAATCTAAGATAGCCATTGCGAGTTCGGAACAGAATTGTTGAAGCTATTATACAAACTGTTGAGAAAGTTGGAAAGAATGAGTGAGTGAGGAAAGAGATGATGAAGGGGAAGGGGGGGAGTGAATCTGGGAAGTGAGGGAAGAGAGAAGACGAATGGTCGAGGGAAAGGGCTACACTTCGTACTCTTTGAGTTGCGGAATGGACATGCTAGCGTTGCGTGGCGGGGTTGGAAGCCCCGCCTCTCCACCACTTCCTATGTGATTTCGGATTTCTATGCTAGTGGGATGGGATTTTGAGATCATACTCAATATTATACTACTTAGATTTTGTTAACTACTGATTTAAAAACACAATTAAATTTGCAAGAATTACGCTATCAACAATGTAAAAAAAAAAAAAATTACATGCTAAATTACACATTTTATTTTTAAATTTGTATACCATCACAATTTATGACCACACAAGTCCAATTTAGTGTGCAAAATTGTATATGTCAATATATTTACTATAATCATAATTTTTTATCTTGTTTTTTTTGCTAATAGACACAATATTAATGGAGTTCATGTTAACAAATATACATAGTACAGATGTCTTTTGTCTAGTAGTAAAAAAAATTAAATAAAAAATAGTTTATATATAGCATTTTTCTGATTTATAATAGTTTCATATTTGGATTTTATTAAGTAGCCCCGTTTGGTAGAGCTGTGGGAAAGTGCTTATAGCTTATGCCTAAACAGCTTATAGCTTATAACTTTCAGCTTAAGCTGATTTCCAGCTTATTCTTAAAGCATATCCTGCCCCACTCAAAGAATAAGCTGTTTTCTGACTTCCACAAAGCTATAAGCTATAAGCTATAAGCTAAACCAAACACATCAAAATAGCTTAAATTAAGCTAAAAGTTGAAATAAGCTGAAATTAAGCTGTACCAAACAGGGCCAGTGTCCCTCTAACATAAGCACACAAGAAAAAGATTTTAAAAAATATCAAATAAATCACAAAACACTTTTCATAATTCAAAAACAATTTCGATTGAATTTGAAACCTTTTTTTATAATTTTTTTCACCACTTTCAAGACAATATACTTAGCGGTCACCTCGTAGTTGCTAGCATTTTAAAAGGTATGTCGTAAAAAAATACTCCCTCCGTTCCAAAATAATGGTTCCTTTTGAAGAATTCAACTTTTTTTGGTAGTACAATTATTGCATTTGAAAAAAATTAATTTTCCAAAATTATCCTTTTGATAGTACATTTTTTGAGAATATCAATGCATAATTGTACTTTTTATGTTGTTTATTAATTTAAAAGAAGGGTAAAATAAGAAATTTATATTATTTTTGTACTTGATTTTTGAAGAGGGACTAATATTTTGGGACAATGAAAAATGGAATAAGGGACTAATATTTTGGGACAGAGGGGGTATATAATATGATTATTTTAAGAATTTTGTTACTGTCCACCCATACATTACGTAATTATAAATAATAGTACATTTTACTACAAATACGGATAATAAAAAATATAGAATGGGTGTTTTGGAAAGTTATTAAAAAATTGTCTTTTTAATTTTTTTTTGTGACTTTTTTAGCTAAAAAAATTAAAAAGTCAAAAAATCGATTTTTTTAGATTGTTGCCAAAAGGCTCCAATATTGTTAACAGGTACCCTAAAGAAGTGCTTTAACAAAACTTTTTTTAAAGAAAAATGACTCGTACCTCGAATTTCGGCCAGCTCGAATGGCCCGAACTGTTCAAAACAACGTCGTTTTGGGTAGTGTTTTTTTTTTTTCTTCTTCTTCTTTCTTTCTTTACTTTTCATTCTTTTGAACACAGACAGAGAGGGAAAAGAAGAGAAGAGAGGAGAGAGAGAGAGAGAGAGATAGAGAAGAGGGGAGAGAAGAGAAGAGAAGAGAAGAGGCGATTGACGGTGATGGTCGGTGATGGTGGCGGCGATCGACGGCCCGATCTCCTCTTTCAAACTTTTTTTTAATTGATCTGGATTTGATCTGGATCTGAAGATTAGTTGAAAAAATAAAATTTGTTGATGATGAAGATGATGATGATGTTGAAGATGATGAAGGTCTTGATTTTTTTTTTTTTCCTGATTTTTGTTTTGTTCTTGATGTTGTTCTGAAGATGAAAGAAAAAATAAATAAAAAATTGTTGGCAATTGTTGGCTGATGTGTTGATGATGATGATGTTCTTGATTTTTTTTTCTAATTTTTTTTTTTGTTCTTGATGTCAAAGAATTGGTAGATCTATCAATTTCTGATTTTTTTCTGATCTTCGTGATGACACTACAAGAAAACACATTTTTGGCGACCATTTTTGGCTACCAAAACAAATTTAGTCGCCAAAAGTGTGGGAATTGGCTACCAAAATTAACTTTAGTCGGCAAAAGTCAACTTTTTAGCTACTAATTTTTATTAGTAGGGGAATGTTGATTATTGGCGACTAAAATAAATTTAGTAGCTAAAAATATTACAATTGGCCACTAAAAAAATTTTTAGTAGCTAAACATATCACAATTGGCGACTAAAAGAAATTTTAGTAGCCGTAGGGGCACCTTTAGCTACTAAATTGTTTGGTAACCGAATGAAAATAAAAAAATTTATTTTTGATCTTTGGCAACAAAATATATTTTCAACGACAAAATTCCTTTTAGTCGCTGTAGACCCACTTTTGGCTACTAAATCGTTTGGTAGCCGAATGAAAATAAAAAATTTAATTTTTAATCTTTGGCGACCAAATCGTATTTTAGTCGCCAAAGATGACCTATATATATATATTTTGTACCAAACCAAACCCTAAAATAATCAGCACCTCTCCCCCTCTCTCTCTCTCTCTCTCTCTCTCTCTTCTCTCTATTTTCAGCGTTGCTCCTCTCCCCTCCCTCTCTCACTGCCGCTCTTCCTCGCCTTCGCCGGAAACCGGAGCACCTCCTCCTCCTCCGCCATCGCCATCGTCATTGTGAGTACCGCCGCTCTTTTCACGCCGCCTCATGCTCCGCCAATCTTCATAGATCCACCGCCACCGCCACCACCACGAGATCCAGAGGCTTCATCGCTGAGATGAACTCTGCTCCATTGATGCTCCGCCTCACGTATGTTTCTCTCTCCCTCTATATATATATATATATATCTCATTTATCTTATGTGGTGTTTTGGGTTTCTGAAATTGAAGCTTTGAATGTTTGTGCTGTCTTTGAACTCTGTTTTTGGTGATATGCAATAATAAATTTGAGATTTTCTTTTCTTTTCCCCCCTATATTTTCTTGAATGCCAAATGGGTTGTTGTTGTTGTTGTTATTATTATTATTATTATTATTTTATGGCTTTTTTGGTTTCTGATGTTTTTCTCAAGTTTAGGGATTTAAAGAATGCAAAGGAGGACTTGGACAAGAATTGCGTTGCACTTTATGAGGCTTCAAGTGGTGATGGGTCGTTAAATGATGATGGTTTGTTTTCTCTTTCCCAGTTATTTGTTTATTTATTTATGAAAATGACAGATACTTGGTATTCTACCTCTGACAATGATTTATATATAGTTCAAAGGCTCCTCAAGTTAAATTGAGATTTATCCTAACAATTTTGGTTGATTGCATGATGTTTTTTCTTGCCAATGAGGCTTCAAGTTTTCTGACAAGTAATGGGTATTGGCTCTTTTGTGAAGGGCATTGTGGAAAATCATCAACATTGCCCAACTCCGCTTTGCCTCACAAAGAATGTCCAGATGATGGTACATTTCTGTTCCTTTAATAGTTTTCATTTTCAATGCTTTTCTTGGCAATGATTGATTATTGGTGGCTATTTTTAGTGAAGGGTATCATCAGAAATCATCAAAATTCATTAATCCTTTCTTACCGTTGCATTTACTAGTTTGCATTGTACATCACCAAACCATTTTAATCTATAATCTGTCAACTTTACTTCAATTGGTGTTACTCCTAACATTTCATTTCATGATTGTATTCATCTCTAATTTTTTCTTTCTCCACAGATCCAACTAAGTATCCTTATCTCAACTACCATAATCTTTACTAACCATATGACATTCCAATTCTAATATCTAATTGTTATTTCCCATACATTACATTGTTGATGATTTTAACCCAAATAATGTTTTAAAAACTGCAGATTGGGAAGCTATTGCAGATCGTGCTCGAGAGGAACTACTTTCTCCATAGTGCTTGCCCAAAGTCTCGTAACTATCACTGCAAGATGCCAAAACCCATTTTTGATCGACCTTAAGACTCAGACGTCACCAGTTGAGCACTCGGTGATGTTGCATATTGTGCTCGTTCTGAGGTTTCAGAGTCTCGGCTGCGAGCCTTACCTCCGGACTTCGAGGCACTTTTGTGCTTCGCCTCGATTTGTGAACCAGGTCCTGTTTTCTCTGTTTTCTCTTCCCGAAGGGAGGGAGAGGTCCCGTAAACCATCTCTCAGTGGCCGTAGGCTACGTTTCGCGGTCCTAGGCCATTTTTCTTGTTTGGAGGCCAGTTTTCGATTTTTCGGAGCCGTCGGCCGTGTGCCTCGATTCAGGACCGCTTAACTACTTCAGTTTGCTCCGATTTTTGGCACACACCTTATTTACTCCCTTTAGAGGGACACTGTGGCCCGGGAGACCACCTTCGTGGTCATATGCCCCTTCCGGTGCCTAACAGCCTATTTTCGGGGCCCCGAACCGCGCGTTTTGACCCCCGAACCCTCGTTTTGCATTCGTCTTGGTCCGTTTTTGGTAGGGACCCTATTTTCATTGTTAGGGAGGTGGTAGTATGGTGGGAGGCCACCTTTTCCCCTGAAAAACCAATTTTCTCTTTTTCTCTCTCTAAAAGCCGGTTTTTCTGACAGAAAGTTGGTTTTTCTCACTTTTGAGCCACAATTTCTCGCTTTTCATACCACCATTGTGTTGTGCTCATCTGGGAGGCCACCAATATGGGTAGGCCGGCTAGAAATTCATCTTGACCCTTTTGAACCTTGTTAAAAAGCTAGCTTTTCTCTCTCCTAGGTCACATTTTCTGGTTTTTCACTACACAGCTGTGTTGCACTCATCTGGGAGGCCACCTTTTTGGAGTGGCTGGCCAGAAATTCTTCTTGAACCTTTTGACCCCTGCTCGGCCAACCAGGAGGAGTGGCCGGCTGGCCACTTGAACTGGCCGGCCTGCTTCTTGCTTTTTGCTCTCTCTGAGTGTAATCCAGCTGTGCCAGCAGGAGGCCATTTGGTGCATCCTCCATACACGTGTATGGAGGATACTTGGGGTCTTTTGGAGATATTTTGAAGCCTCTCCTCTATAAAGGAGAGGTTTGGCTTCATGTTGAAGGGTTGAAAAAATTTGGTGAAAGCTTATAGCCTTCATCTTCCATATTCACTATTCCAAGCTCCAAAATCCTAGTTTTTTTGGCCTTTTTGCACTTCAACCCTTAGCACCACACCTCCATCATCCATTCCAACACTTTGGGACTGACTTGCAAGGGTTGAAGGTTCACCAACTTGGTCCAAAAGCTCCAGCTTTGCTGCTCTTCAAGGGTAAGTGCCTATTTCTCTTGAACTTGCATTTTTTTGCGCCATTGATTAGCCTTACTTGCAAGTATTTATGGACTTTTTCATAAACTAGAAAGTGTCATATTTTGAGCTCCTCTTGAATATTGATTAAGGACACTTCTCTGTTTGAGGTCTCCTACATCCTTGTATGCTTTATCCCTCTTTGTAGGCCTATTTTGCATCATATCTTAGTCCTACTTGTGAGCATTTTCGAGATTTGTCATAAACTAGAAAAATTTTCCTTTTGAGCTTATAAACATGTTTGTCTAAGATACTTTCTCTGTTTGGGGACATCTACCCCCTTTCATGCCTTATTTCCTCATGTTTTGAGCTATGCATGTGAGCACTTGCATTGGCCTTGATTTGGCCTTTTAGCCACAGAAAAGTCTTTGAGCCTCAAAAATATAGAGGGGTGACCCTATCACCCCTCATTCTCTTTACTAGCTTTGTTGGCCTTCTAAAGGGACCCCTTTTTTCATGCTTTGAAGTCATGTTCCAGGCCTCATTCTGAGGGTTTTGAGGTCTGCCTTAGCTCTGTCCAAGGCCCTTTTGGTCATATTTTATGTCTCTCATGCATGTGTAGAACAATTCTATTTAAGGCCTTTTGAGGGGGCCTTTCATTGTATGCTTCATTGACCCATTTCAGGGCCAATTTGGTGAGTTTTAGGCTTGCCATAACTCATTTCCAGAGTTAGTTTTTCTATACTAAGTGTCCATCATGTATGTGCTTAAATAACCCCTTGTATGGCCCTCTAAAGGAACTCATCATTTTTGCATGCATTGGATGCATTTCAGTGGTTATTTGGGCATGTTCTGTCATGTTTTATTCACTGTTTTTGACTGGTTTGATGAGTTCTCATACGCTTCATATACATGCCATGTAAACCATGTTTGCTAACCAAATTTGCATGCTATTTTAATCTATCATGTTAGCACTTTTTGGCCATGCTTTAAACTATAAATGTGCATGTTTTGGGACTGCCATGTCTTTGTCTTTATATTTCATGGCCAAATAATGCTTGCTTTGCATAGTTATAATTCAATACATGTGCCTACCTTTGAGTTTCGAGGCTTATTTCATGCATCGGGTGCCATATTTCCATGTTTCGGGACCATTTAGCATCATGTTTCAGTGCTGAAAATTACATGTTTATATGCCATCTTTTATCCCTTGCCATGCTTTCGAGAGTGGCATTTTATGCCTTAGGTTCGGTCCTCGGTATGCGTGCACGTGTGCACGCATTTCGGTTACTCATGTTGGCGTAAGTCCATCGTGCATTGTGCATGCCATTTTAGTCCATAGCATTACGTATGCTAGGTTGCATTTTAGAGCATTGTGTATGCCATGTTACATCACGCGCATTGTGTATGCTATTTTAGTACATAGCATTGCGTATGTTAGGTTGCATGTTAGTCGCATTATGCGTGCCATTCCATTTGCATGGTGCTTGGAATAGGGTTTAGTCCGAGCACGGGAAACAGGGGGCGTTTCGTACTCCAAGTGACGAAACGTGCCTCGATTCTCGGTCCCTGACGTTCTTGATTATCTATGATAGAATTGTTGGCTTCATATGTTCATACTTGCATTCATGTCTTATTAAAACGTGCAATTCGGTCTCTCGGCTATCATGCATCGAGATGCGTGTTTGGTGGCTCGAGAACCGAGGGTCACACTCCCTAGAGCTTGTGCAAGGACGGGGAGGAGTGGTCGCGCATACATATGTTGAAAATACATTGCTTTCTCTCCTTCTTGCCTTTGTTACAGAAAAAACCAGAGTCCAGGGACAGAAAGTGGTCGGCCGACCAGGTTTTCTGGTAGGCCGACCACCTTTTTTGGTTTTCACCATGAGGGGTGGTCGGCAGGTGTTTCCCAAGCCAAGAGCTGGTCGGCAGCCTTCCCCAGGTGGAGTTTCAGCCTCCTGGAGCTTTGTGTAAGTTTCTGAAATCAGCTGCAAACAATGGCAAGACAAGGCATCGCGATGGAATTTACCAACAAAGCGCATCGAGCATGCATGCATCCATTATCATCCAAAACAGAGCTAGGGCAGTCCATTTGCATGCCAGTTCATAGCCTACTTAGCTAATTTGTTAGTTAGTTAGTGAATGTGTAATAATTAGCTGTAATTATTCATTCGGACTGTAATTATTCATTCGGACTGTAATTATTATTTGGACTGTATTATTCGGACCCTCCGAGCGAGGGCAATGTTTGTAATAAGTGTGCGCGCGTGTGATGTATGTCTTCCAATCCCACGTCTTTTTCCTTTTTATTTACCAACTTATGATGGTTAGATTAGGGCATGTTTCCATTAGCATACAGTATGATAGCATGTTTGCATTCATTCATCTATTTTGCATGCACCGGGCTCAGCGCATCATACTAAATGCATTAGTATTTCAATTCCGAGTTGAATACTTGTTAGTTGTAGCATCTCACATGCCGTCTTTAGAATAACCGAGCCTATTGTAGTTGCATTTTTGCATGTGTTACATTAGGCATTTCTGTATAGTTAGGATCATGCATGGATTTCTGACATATCTTTTGTTTTGGCTTGGAGTACTCGGTAAGTGTTTATGTTTCAGCATCCTTGCATGTGTGTGAGTGACTGCCATGATAGCATGCTTACCATGAGGCTATGTGCTTATGTGATATACCTGCCTGAATGCCTGTGGGTGAAGGTTGGGTTATTTGGATTAGAACAATTCATCAATTGTGAGTTATAAGCCCACTAGATAGTGGCAAATCATCTTGTTTTCTAAGCCCACCTGAGGGTGACAAATCCACGTCTTAGCCTACTTGCGGTTAGCACCATCAAACCATTTTCAAAATAAACAAACATGAGATGTGTTGTTCCAATTCATGCGATCCAGTCTAAACTTATATGTTGTGCACATCATATAGTAAATCTAGGCTAATAACCGAAATAAGAATGCATAATGTTTTTAAAACCCGATATCATGGTTAGTAGAGGCCGATCTTTGATCGGGCGAGCGGGGGTGCTCACGAAGTGACCTTCCCCAATCGTACCCAAGTTCCCGAGCCGAGGCAACTTTGGTGATGACGGACACGTGGCCTTAGGCAACGAGTTAGGGTTTCCTAAATTTCCTCAAAAATAAAATATTTAGGTGGCGACTCTGTATCTGGCAAAGCAGTCCATGTTTGGCACTTCTTTCAAAAAAATCTGTTTTCAAAAACGATTTGCCGGATTTGGACTCTTTGATGATTCATCAGTCTTGCATTGCACTCCGCGAGATTAGATACAGGACCGTGACACAAATTGAGTCCAAACTATAGTGAGGCCCGAGGGCGCGTCTATAGTTACATATGAGAACAAAAGTACTGAAATTAGTATAAAATAAATACAGTTTCATAGAGATCACACAACAAAAATTTGAAGCAAACCACAATTAAAACAAGGCAACCAAACCTTAAGATTGGGAACTTGATCAGCTTCACCTTCCGATAACAACACAACTTTTATATATCTTATATATATATATATATATAGGGAGAGAGAGAGAAGGAGAGAGAGAAAGAGAGGCTCACCCTTTTTCCCTACCCTCCCAGAACTAGAAATAAGGGTTGTGAATGTGCAATTGAGGTAATATAGATGGATTGGTTGCCACATT